CCGTTTCAAATAGCTTTATATTTGAATTTATGGCTTTTTCCAATTTGGCTGATAATTAGTATAATAAACTTGGATGCAAAAGTAAATATTATTTTTTAGTAAAGTTACAAAATTATTATTTAATAAAGTTATATATATTAATTTTCTTTATTGTTTTTATAGTACAATAATTTAACAAATATTTATAAATTGATAGCTGTAACAATATTTTTGATACTTTCAATTTTTGAAAGTTTAAAATTATATTTGGGATATGCAGGAAATCTTATTGGAAAGGTAATTTATCTAATTTATTTATCATAGAATTTGATTTTTAGTATTTTATAATATAAAAAAATTATCAGATTCCAGAATTAACTAGTTGTTGGTTAATTTCAATATTGATACAACTTCCCCTAGAGATGTATCTTTTATTTGATTATTGGATTTTATTTCATTATAGTGAAATATTGGTCAATTCCTTTATGGTTTGCCTTCTTTTTATTGAAATTATTACAGGTATGATTGCTTTAAAAAATTTGGCAAATCATCATGCTAAAGTATTTTATTTAATGCATTTATACGGTATACGTACAAATGATGGACGGTAATTTATCTTCTAAAATAATTTTATAATTATATATAGAATAAGTACATTTACAAGTAATTTTTATATTAAAATACAAATGTTTTGATTTTTTGTTTTGTAAAAATTTCTAATCAATGCAATACCTAATACATATAAGTCTATTTAATTAATTATGTCTTATATCATGATTAGCTATCAAGATTATGAGTTCTATAAAATAACTGTATTACTGATACATTTTTTCGTAAACGTATTAAATATGTTTCTATATTGTTGATAACAATATCATTTTCAATATTTTGTTTATTGGTAAGTGCTTGTAAAAGTTGTAAACGTGTAGGAACCATACGTGAAAGTAGCTGTTAAAAAAAAATAAAAAATTAGTATAATTAACAAAAATAGATAGAAAAAAATGATAAAAACGATAATTGAATAATAATTTATAACTTATTATTGTTCAAAAAATTATCAATAATAAGAATATGTTATATATGTTTTAAATAAATGCTTACATCAAAAAGTTGTTGTGCCATCCAACCATGATATGGTTCTAAAGCTTCTTTATAAGATTTTTTTAAAAATGCAACTAGATCTTCTGTTGGTGTAGCTGTTTTAGCATCTTCTACAATTTTCTCGAAAAAAAGTAAAATCATGTGTAACGCTCTGTAATTGTTAAATTGAAATTTCGATTCAATCAATAAACATAGTAAATAAAAAAAAAAATGTATAAATTGAATTAAATTGAATGAAATAGAGAATTATATGTCTATATATTATAGAAAACTTGCACGAACCTTGTTAACCATAATAAAGCATCCGTTGCGATTAAATTAGTCTCGGTAGCTTTTTCAATTAAAATCATGTCTTGTAGAATTACATTTTTTTCTTTATTCGTTGCATATCTTGTTTCGAGTTTCTAGAATTATACTTGAATACTATGAATGAATTGTATATTATAATATATGATTACGTTTTATTATGTACATAAATATATATACTTACGTCAATGTTTCCATTAATATCATATTTAACTGGTGCGAATACTTTGCCAAGTTTTTCTGAAATATTTGTTTAATTTTTTATTTTTGTTCTTTATGTAGGTTATATGGCATTGACTATAAATATATGTAAACACATACATACCAACAATTCGCACAATGCCTCGTGCTGCATTCAAAAATTCAGCCGTTTTTATTTTATCGTCCTCTGCGATTTCTGGAAATAAAATTTCAATTTCATTAACAAGCACATCGTTGTCATCATTAGCACTCGAAAAATGTGCCATAATTTTACGATGATGATAAATTTCACATATAATTAAAAAACAATATGTATATATACATGTATATATATATATATATATATAGATATTTTTGTTTTGAAACGTTTTAATAGTGTTCTTTTATGCTTTATCGTTTATTTACTACGTTTTATCGATCGGTAGTTTGCAGCAATATTTTTGGTAAGTACATATGTTACTTTTTACGATATATGATACTATACATATACAATTTAAATACGATTTTGATATACTAAAATTTCAAAGAGTAATCAACAGCTTTTAAATATTCTATGAAATAGATAATATATCTTTTAATTTTTTAAATAAAATAAATTATAGATATATTAACATAAAATTATAGATATATTAGAATTGCGAAAATTTTTTTTATTTTTTTTATTAGCACTAATTGAATTAAATAAATAAAATATATATTATCATTGAATTTTTATAATTTATCAATTTTTTTTAATTTCAATGATATATTATCAATGTATGAAATATGTTATCAATATCTATCAATATCAATTATTTTCATAATTATTTATAGTTATTGTTAAAACATTTAATGGCGATAAATTTTTAATTCATTTTATTAATTAAAATTATTATAAAACTAAATTTATATTTATGAAACTGTATATATAATTGCACATACAGCAGTTTAATAATAATGTTATCTCATTTTCTTAAACCGTTAATAATAAATAAAAATTTTTATTTTATAGCGTTCTTTTCTATAATTGTACATGTATTTACATATATATTCATCACATAAATGCATCACATAATCATTAACGCGCAATGTATTTTTTATTAAGTATAATAGTATAATAATTATTATGCCATAAATCCATATTTAGAATAATATATATAATAATATATATATATACACAAAAGGTACTACTGAAATTATTGAAACCAAACAGCAATGTATGAAATTTTTATTTTTTCTTCTCTCATTTAAATACAAGCATATACATCTCTTTCTTTCTCTCTCACATACATACATTCATTTACTTACTCTTATCATTTTACTATTAGAGATTTATTATAGAGATAATAATCTCTATAATAGAGATATAATAGAGATCTCTATAAGAGATTATAAGATTTTTTAGTTTTGATTTAAAAAGCTTTACTATTGCAGTGATCATAAAAATTATCGTAATGGAAAAAATATGTCTTATAACATATAGCGTTTTAGATAAGCATATCTTAGACAAACATCGATAATAATTAAAAAGCAAATATATATTGAGATTGAATTTTGTTCAAATTATTTTTAGCGACCAAGCATTATCATTAATTATATTAAATCGTGCTTATTGATTCTAAGAAAATTAGAAAAGAACATATGATTTTTTGGCAATTCGAATTGGTTGTATTGTCGCTATTAAAATATAAAATTTGTAGTAAAGCGTATCAATATAATGCTGCAAATTTCAAAATGCCGTTGGAAGAGGATATTTAAGAATATTGCCAGTCGAATCTTCAGCAACGAGAGTCAGTGCGGCAATAATATGTGATGGAGCTAGTGGAACTAACGCCTCCAAGGGTGGCCGAGAGCCTGGAAATTGTCGAGAACCAACCACCATTCCACCAGATGTTTCTCTAAGTTCTATTACTCGTACTCCAAAACGCGATCTTATAACATTCCTGTGATCAAAGACAAAAATACATATGATTATCATATTTGGAAGAGAAGTAATAGGAAAAAGTAAAGAAAAGAATGTATGAAAGGAGGTGGAACAAAAAAAGAAAGATGGAAGAATATGTGTATGGATCAGGTGGGTGTTCAGTGTGTTTGTGTTAATGGATCAGGATCGACGGATCAGGTATTTGATTATACCTTTTCCCATCATATTCGATGTCGTGGAAAGGTCGAGTAAAAACGTTGTCCATCTCGCTGTTGAACCATCGATGATAGGCGAGAAATGCTGCGCAAGACGGCGACCAAAATGTTCGATCAGTTTGTGAATTAGGAGTTTGTTCCAATGCAGGTTGAGTTTGTAAAAGACTCTTGGAAAAGGATCTGTTGAGTTCTGGACTAGCGGGTGCGGATAGCCTGCCGAGTAATCGTGAAGGATTTTGAGAAGACGAAGGGCGGGACGATTCGGAAAGCAGACGATTTCTTCGAGGGCTTGCTAACAGAGCATACGGTTCTTGTATTGTGACCGTCACGCTGAGTGGCCTACTTAATGCGATCGTTGTATGTTGAGGATCTCTTCGTAGTACAGGGTTGCGATTGAAATCGATTCCAGCTGCTCCGACAAATACACGATCAACGTAATCGAATCCGCGGCCCATTATGCCTTCACGAGTATGGCCAAGATCGAAAGTGTGCCCTAATTCATGGAGAACTGCGCCAAGAGTTGTGGCGAAACAGCCACCATGTGTTCCGCGATAATTACTATCATCCATTAATTGTTCCGTATCGATGATTGTGGCGTCAAGAAATCTAGATAATATTTGAGCCATGCAGGTGGGCCATGTATGAAGACAAGCTGAACCAAATAACGCTAATCCACCGCCACCGAGCGCGGCATGCCCTTGAGTTCTCGCAAGAGTGTCTTCGTGAGTGCGTGGATTTGGTGCACCTCGATATCTGGTACACGAAAGAAATGCAAGATACTTGCGATCTTTCGATGCCAAAGGACCGGTCATTAATTCACGCGCGATTAATTCCCAAAGTTCCCGTTGATTCATCGCACGTGCTCGATCGACATCAAGCATGCTATGCATAACCAAACACTCTGCACCATCCAAGTCTCGTTCCAGTTGAAACGTTTTCCTTCCGTAACCTGCCTCCCTTAACTTTTCGGCGGTGAGAGTTTGTAAAAGTCGGGCACCAAGACCTATTCTTGTCGCAGCGCTTTCCGGCGACCGATCTTCTCCTCGTGGACCTTGGAAATATCCATCGTGCCCAGAGCAAATCACATAGACGGGAGTTACGCGTAATCTTGTTGTCCTTGGTTCGTGAATTAAAACAAGTCCTTTTCTTTGACCTGCTGTTTCGAATTCCAACTTATTTGGACCTCGTGTTAGTTCTACTATCGCACGAAATTCACCGGACACGATTGGCCATTCGGAACTTTGATTTTCTTGATTTCGTACAGTGATGAAGTTACACGCCATTGGTGCACGACCTCGTATCAGAGCTAAGCTATAACATAAGCTCTCTCCATCCACTAAATTCGTCACACATATTTCTTCTGAATTCCCATTTGTTGTAGATTTATATTGCCGATTCTCCCCTTCTAATGGAAATTCTCTATTACCTTCGTAATAACATTTTCGTTGACATCGTTGTTGTTCTTGTTGTCGTTCTTGTTGTTGTTGCTGCTCACGAAGAAGATTTGCCAAATTTGTGTCTGCAAGTACCTGTGGGGGTTGTGTGTTTTTACGTATAATTTTAGGATGCATTGTAAAATGATAACAAAGATTAGAGAAACTAGAATGATGAGAAATACAACGACGGCGATGGCGACGGCAACGATGATAACGATGACGACGACGATAACGACGACGACGAAAACGACAACGACGACGACAACGACGATGATGACGAAGACGACAGTAAAGATAATAACGGTAGTAATTGATGATGATAGCGACGGTAAGGATGAGGACGATGATAATAATTATTGTTTCGTTTAAAAAAGATCGTATCGTATTTATATAAAATTAGAAAAGCAAAGATATAATTTTATTCTATCTTTATTTTTTTACAACTTTAATTATTTGATGAATGAATAATAATAATTTCACAAAAAAGTGACCACACCGACATAAAATGACAATTCCAAGAGAAGTGCTGCGATCTTGTGGTGAATTATAAAAGCTTTGTATGGAGTAGAATCTTTCAAGTTTTTCCCACCTCAATTTTCGCTCTTCAGATCGTACCGACATGTATCAAGTAAAATGTCGAAAGAAATAAGACAAATCGATTCATTGATTTTCTTTGAAATTAGCAATTGAAAGTTTTATTCAAATTACATAAGATACTGGATTTTATTAAGAAAAAGTTCTTTCCGAAGAAATATAAATATGAGCAATCACCGGTAGGATTGTGATAAATAACGAAATAATATGTCCATTGTATTTCCATCAGAAAGGAATTTGGTAGTTAACATTGGGTAATTTGATACAGAAGAAGGATAAAGAGTTTCGAATTGAAATAACAAAATATGTCGATAAAGAATTATTCGAATTCACGTTTAATTGTCAAGAATACACGTGTATTTAACAAATTGAATCCAAATGTTTGAAGCTATAACAAGATTTACGGCTTTTCAATTTCAAATATTTCACTTACCATTGTATAAGAAGTGTGTCGAAATAGCAGGCAGTACACGTTAAAAAGGAAAGGAAGGGAAGTACGTGCTGAACGATCAGCTTCAGCCGGCTCCGTACATACGGAGAGATAGACTGTGGCGCCGAGACAATGACGAACGGCGGGTTGCGGTACTATGGCGCAGCGGCGCATGCAGTCGCGCACCCGCATTCGCGTTTCTCTTCGTTCTTTGTTTCTCTTTCTTACTTTCTTCCTTTTTTCACATATTACATTAACATCCCCTTCGTCGTATTTTCTTCTCTTTATTTATTAAGAGATCTCACTCCTTTCCTATGAAAGCATCGTTCAATTTGCTATATTTCGCGTTGTCATTTTTGTATAACAATATATACTGTATATATATATATATAGATATGTATCGGATATTAATACATTTATGAGATATTTTTGGAGATACTTTTTGATTCTAAAAATACAAAAGTTGATATACAAAAATATCAATTGAGATTTATTTATTAAGTTATGAATAATTATGTTTCATAATAAATATTGCAAAGCAAGACGAAGATAGAACGAGATAATTCTATCTCTATCACACTAGTGTCTCGATCTATCTCCATTTCTCTTTATTTAATGCAAATAAATTATATATAACTTAATAAATAAATTGTAATCGATATTTTTATATAGCAATTTTTGCATTTGTTTATCTTTTATAATTTATTCTTTAGATATATCACGAATATTATTTCTTTTTTTTTTATTTAAAATATAAAATGG